CGCGGGGGCGAGTCCCGGCTGCCCGGCCCCAGCTGCGGCGCGGGATGCGGAGCTCCGTGGGGGCAGAGAGAGAAGCGGAGCTGCGGGGAACCCAGAGCAGCTGTGCAATCAAACGCAGCGGAGAGGGGGCTGAGGGAGGGGCTGCCATTGAAGAAAGAAAGAGGCAGAGGGAGAGAGTGGGGCGTGAGATGCGGGACACTAGGGAGGTGCCCGCTCCCCCTCGCAGCGCCAAGTGGGTGGCACCGGACACGGGGCGAGCAGAGCGGGACCCCGCCCCGCTTTTTCTTTTTGCTTGAAAGCAAACCCAGGCCCAAGGTGCAGGTGCTGCCGGGAGGGGGCGGCTGAGCCCCTCGTGCTGGTGGGTGCTGGTGCCGAGGTTCCCGGGGGAGCCTGGCCGAGCCCTTCCCGGGCGCGAGGCAGGGAGGTGGCGCGAGCCGGCCCCTGCCCTTAGGTGTGCGCGGGGCGGGGGGTGCTCGCGGCCCCCGCCTCGGAGCGCACACAAGTGCAGCTGCCCCGCCGCGCCTCGGGGGGCGGCCCGCTCGAGGGGGGCCTCGGGTGACCGGGGGGCACGGGGCGGGCGCTGCAGACGGGGCCCGCGAGCATGAGGAGAAAAGCCCGGGCCGGGGGGCGGCAGGGACACGGCCCGACAGCGCGGGGAGTCGAGTCGCGGGTGCAGGGACATCCCCGGGCACACCTGCCGGCTCCGGCCGGGCTCCAGGACACGTTTCTTACCCGCTCTCCTTCCCCGACCGCTTGTTTCCCAAAGGGCGCGGGCGGGCCGCTCCTTCCTACTACACCTCCTCCCTCAGGGGGATGGGGCCATTCACTCCGCTCCTCTTCGCCCTCCAGGGGGAAAAACAAACAAACCCCATCAGCAGTTTGGACACCTCCTCGCCTCGTCCCACTGCTCTTCCCCAGTGCGCGGGGCTGCGCCCGCCGCCATCCCCCCGTCAAACATCTCCTCCCTCGGCTCGGGCCCGCTCCTCGCCTCCTGCCCACAGGGCCTTTCATCCTGCCTCCCCCGGGGTAATCTAACTGCAGCACCGCTTTCATTCCCGGGGAGCCAAACATTACGCTCCAGGTGCAATTCCGGTTCTGCATCGTTCGAGATAAACCAGCCAAATCCGCACCCCCATGTCCTTGATGGCCAGGGGGAGTATGATCTCCGCACCGTGAGGAGCCGAACTATTTTTAGCTTCCCTCCCCTGCAAGCCCCAATGGCAGAAATTCTTCTTGGCGGGAGGCAAAAATA